TCATAATAACTGGCCACCCCCCCCCCCCCCCTTTCTGTCAAAAGCAACAAAAAAAGTAAGAAACCATCAACATAAACAAAAAAACAAAAATCAGACCTTCCCCTTAGCACCAATTGCAAATAAAAAGGTAAGTAATTGCCATTATTTGTGCCAGTAGGATATGGACACATGGCGTTGGGGGTGTAAGGACCACCTCAAAATGTAAGCTTTATAGCGAGGTTTAACGTTGGAGTAGTGCCTTAAAAAATACATTGAGAAAAAGAATCAAAGACACAACATATACATGCAATTTAATCTGTCATTTTCTAACCTACTGCTATCATTTTACATTTCTTCTTCCCCTTTATATTTGTCGCAGTGTGGGCAGTGTGTTTTGACGCAATATGGTCCGTTTATTTTTGGCTAAAATGGGCTTTCAGGTGTAGTCCAGTGCGTTCCAGAGCGTTGCATGCGTTTTTCATGCATGTGCATGCAATTTAGTGCGTTCCAGAGCAGAAAAATAGTGTGTGCTGCATTTTTTACACATGCTCTAGAACTGAACGCTGTGGTGTGAACTCGAGCCCAAAATACCATTGGAATACATTGGATGCATTTTTGATCCGTTCTTAAACTGCTCTGCATCTGCTCCACACTGGTCTTTTCTCTCCAGTTTCAATGATTCTATAAAAGCCTTGATGAGGTGTTGTCATCAGAAAGTTGGTTTGTTTCTTCCCAAACATTTGTCCATGTACAGATTTCATCACGCGCTCATATTCTGACTTTGAAAGAGGTTTGCTGAAGGAATGTCTGTTTGGCAAATGGAATGATGGTCTTATTTTAAAAGCTTCCTGCCAATATGCATTTTCAGTTATTGACAATGATGGTGCTGATCCAGAAGCATATATTGCTCTTGCAAGAGCTTGATCAACTTTCTCTTGCTTCTCGGGTATAATATAATCTATAAGTGAAGATATTGTGTATTTCTGGGAGGCAGTGGTTTGTACACTTCCTTACTTGAAGATGCTGCTGGTGAAGAAACACTTTGTGATGATACAGAAGCAGCAGAAAGAGTTTTTGTGGAATGAGAACTTTGGAGGGAAAAGCTACTTTCATTATGGCCCTCATCATTTAATTACAAGCATTATTTTTTAATGTCTTTAGTGCTCTGGGACCCAATGATGTGTAGTGTCATCCTTGTAGCATTTGGAAAACAATATTTCTTCTGACAGTATTTGCAAATTTGCTTTGAGCAGAAATTGCACTGTGGAAATGTTTCCAAACTCTAGAAATTTCTTTTGACCATTTTACTGAAAGGAGAAAAAGAAAAAACTATTTATTGACTAGACTATTGGTAGACATTATGCTGTGATGGGGAAGAACATTAATACAAATAATTTAGATAAAGGTTATAAAGATAAACTAATTTGTCAGACAAATGGAACCTCTTACCTGTCAATTAAGGCCTGAGATATCAGAAGCAATCACCCAGTGTAGCAGGTACAAAATGAAGCCTATAAGCAAACTAAACTGAAACCTTTTCCTTGCAGTGCCCCCAGGATGCAGGAATTAATATTTCTCTTATTTTAGAATTGCATTGTCAGTACTGTGTACTTGAATTGGATTCCAGGATTTGCTTGTCTTCAGCTGAGAGAACTTGCAGTGATTTGAGACTTTACATAAAGTTAAGGTCTTCATGTTATATAGTTTAAAAACCATGGCATCAATATATCATTTATCACTGTAAAAGAACATATTCCACATTCCATATTTCTTTTAATTTTTCTGGGGGAAAAAACAAACGGCTTTGGAAAAAAAAATCCATTTTTTCCAGGCCTTTCCATCTCTACTCTGGAGGAACATCCAGCTCCTGGAAAACTTTGAGTTCTCTCTGGTTTGTTGCTTGGAGCTGACAGTTTTTCCATCTAAAGTATGGAAAATAAAAAACCTCAGGGTAGCCGATACTATTCTGCAGCAAAACATTTTAGGTAGGGTCCTCTGCTTCAAGATGGTAGTCGGGGAAATTATCAGCAAACCTTTGTAGGGGGTGACCCTGAAAGGTTAGCTCTGGTTTCTCACAAGCAGTGGCAAGGAACCTTACTTTAGATGTGAAGTAATGGAGTTTCACGATATCCCATGAGGGGCTGTCAGGTTGTCCCCTGCCAAGCGCTACAGGAAAATATTGAGTGAAAGCTGCTGAAAATTACTGGTAATGCAGTCTGGAAGGTCTGGGATAAGTTCAGGTTTGGCTCTGATGCACAGAGACGTACTCTGGGCTCCATTCCGAGCATCTTCCTGTTTATCCTTCAGCGCCTAGAGTTTTTCATGACCACCTAGGACAGTGGTTGCATCGTTCATATGGTGTTCCGAATTTCTTTCTGGCTCCAAATTTCTTTCAAGAGGTCCACCATGAAATGCATGGAAACTCTTGTGATTTTTTTTTTTTTTTTGCAAATCACAGACCAGATTTTGGATAGCAGCGCATCCGAGGGAGTTGAGTCCTCTGCATGTACAGCCAATGGGAAATTGGTTAGTCTGTCAATTGTGGTATCGGAATCATCAAACATCACCCACACGCTTTCCTTAGGGGGGCTGGCACCATCTTGGACCCAGGTGTCTGCGTTTTTGGATCTGGTCGGGGATATTGCTTAGATTTCTTTCCCAGTGTGGCTCATGGTCCAAAAAAGATCTGTGTTGGTTCAGCAGAATAGAGGATTGTGGTAGGTGAGGTCTCAGTGCAAATATAATGTCTGTAGGAATAGAAGTTTGCCAGGTGTTGTGAAGCTAAGCTAACATGTGTCCGTGCTCTCTCACAGCATGCATGCCATGTTTGTCATACTTTTCAACTGTGAAAATATGGGTCAAACCCAGCAATGATGCTAAACAAAGGAAGTGTGAGACTAATTGACTCTACTATTCAGGTCTTTCACTGTCCTCCTCATACATTCTGTAAATGGAATGCTATTGGCAGTTAAGTATGTGGGCTAATTTTGATAGATGCAATTTGCCAGGCCTGGCCAGACCTGGGGCTGAAAAAACGTATGCAATCAGCTGATCGTGGTTTCCGTGCTTTGCACACTCCCAGTACAAAGAATTAATAAATGCGGATGATAGCATTTATTATAAGCGTATTACTCTTATTCCTTTTTAACATTTTGGCATGATGTTTTCTTAAATTAAACAATCATTCAAACATCCTAACCTTTGCTTTTTTTTTTTTACAGGAGAGGAGGCTACATATGTACATTGTTTATTGTCAAAATAAACCGAAATCAGAACATATTGTTGCAGAATATATTGATACCTATTTTGAGGTAAATATGATATTGTGCATAACATGAGCCCTTAGGCCTCAACAAAAGTGCATATTTTTGTTTTTGCTCTCTTAAATATAGTTGCATGTGTAGCGCTTGCACACCGAAGAAGCCGCTCAATAACCCAGGTATTTCTATCCCCCACACCAATGTACCGCCCAAATTTGGATCCACAGCACACCAACACACCTTTAAAGAGTTTGATAACTTAATGATCAATCAGAGTATAAGCATAAAACAATGCAGTCATAAACCCAAAAATCACATTCAGTGATATGCAAAGGCACTCTGACACTCAGTAACCTCAGCTATCTACTGCATATACTGAAGTGTGTAATGCCCGATTGCCTCAGATGTTACCCTCGAACTGAATATATGTAACACTAATGCCTCACTTTAAGATAGTAGCTGACCCTCTCTAGACTACTGGCCAGTAGTAATGTCCTAGGCTAGCCAACGTTGGGGCCCGTACTATATTAAAGGTGTGAGAAGTAAATTGTCACAATGGGAAAAGGCATCTCACCACTCCCAGGGTCAGATGGAAGAGATGATGTCTGCCAGCAAGAGACGAACTTCCCCTTTCTCTCAAGCCGACTCTTGTGAAGATGATGAAGTCATCTGGGGCCTCTTGTGGAAGGTCTCCACTCGTCCAGGGTACTGGGCAGCTGTCTCTGTCTACACCGTCCGGCTCCCCTCAGCTGGACCTGCTGGGTCACTCATAGGGCTGGATCGGCCGTGCGACCAGGCCGTGATGTCTCCACTACAGCCGCGTCACTGGGTCCTAATAAAGCGCTCAATCGGATGCCTCCAGGCACAGCAATCTGAATACAGTCTCTCCTCTAACAGCTTGCACAGAGCCTGTGTGTCCCTCTCTGTCAGCGGCGGCCACACCGCTATGGCACTCACAGTCTCAGTCTACACAGGACCACGGAGATCTGTCCGATCTCCCAGACTGCCTGTGCTCAGCAGCCACAGCCCAGAGTCCCCTCCTCTCTCAAGCACAGCCTCCTGGGATTTGCAGTCTCAGGGATCCTTCTTGCAACACAGTTTCTGCTCTTCACTGCAATTCCCAGAAGTCTGCACCTCACAGAACACACAGAGGCAGTTAACGGTTTGCAGGCAGAAACATCGATCACTGTAGTAGCACATATATACATATCTATATAGGGGCTACAGATGAAAATGTTGCGATAGTTTCTGAAATATGTGAACTGTTGTTGGTACCTAAACAGATTTGAGAACCTTTGCTTTCTTAAGCTCTGGTATAAATTAGAATAAAAAGAAATATAAACTATACTATCTCATGTTTAATTTTGTTATGCATCAGAAACATTCATTCTTGTAGGTTAGAATGAATTAAAATAGTCAGTCTTTAGTCTTGAACACATTTATGAATAAACCCTTCACTGTGGCTTAGGTATCCTGCTGTCCTATTAAAATATTTTTGTGTAAAAAAACTGTCAGACCATAAAACCTATAATGACTAGATATGATTAGAGATCCTGCTTGCTGAGGTTAATGTGAAGTGGTAATTGGGAGTGGAAATAGTGCCTAGGGTTAAAGGAGAACTATGGGGTCAGGGCTTTTCCCCATAGTTCTCCTAAGGGTAACGGGAGGACACAAACTAGCGTCCTCCCATCACCCTAAGCTCAGTATACCGCAAGCTACAGCTCGCGGTATACTGAGACACCGCAGCTGAAACGGATCCCGACAATTATGTCTGGATCCGCCCAGCTGCGTGAGTGACAGCTGGCTCTGCCTATCTAGAGGCAGAGCCAGCTGTACCCGCCCCCTCCCCCTGTCCGTTCCGCCATTCAGCGCTGATGGAGCGGGGAGGGGGGAATCCAGTCCCTCCCCTGTCACAGCTCTCTGCCGTGACACGATCAAGAAGTGAGCGAACGCCGGTATGTGTTCGCTCACTTCCCGATCTACTGAGCCGACCTGACAATAGAACTATGAGGATAAGTGAAAAGCACTAACCTCATAGTTCTCCTTTAATACTTTCAGATGCATTTCAGATGCATTGGGGTCAATTTACTAAGGAAGTAGCATGTTTCTTTCTAGTGAGATGCTAAAGAAAGTTGATTTACTAACATGGTTACTCACTAAGCTGCCGGAGGCAGCCTAGTGAAAAACCGAGCAGTGGTGATGTGAGCCGAACACCGTTTGGCTATTCACTACGGCTCAGTACGGCTGATTTCAGCCGTACTTTGGCTGCACTTCGGTCAGCCGATCGTGCTCTGCATGTTTGGCTGAGCCGAAGTGCAGAAGGACTTCGACTCAGCCGATCCAACAACTGGATTGGCTAAGCCGAAGCTTCGGCAGCTCACTCACTGCCGGTCGCCCATATTCACATAGGGGCCGAACGGCAGTGAGTGAATAGCCAAATGCCGCAGAGCGGCATCCGGCTCAGCTATTCTGCTCGGTACCTCAGTGGTACCGAGCAGAATAGGAAATTAATGAAAGAAGTTTTAAAAAAACAAAGATGAAAAAAAGATTTTAAAAATGTAAATAAATGTAAAATCAAAAAAATTAAGATTTAAAAAAAAAAACAATAAAAAATTGGGCGGAGTTAGCAGTGACTGCTAGCTCTGCCCAACTGTTTCCTGTTGGCTGCCACCTGCTAAAGTCTTAAAGCAGAGCTCGGCCAATGAATAACAACTGGGAGGAGCCGGCCGTGACGTCACGGCCAGCTCCGCCCACTTGTCATTGTTTAATGACAGTTCAGCGTCCCCAGGTCATTTGTGGATGCTGATCTGTCATTACAACTGGGCGGAGCCAGGCGTGAGATCACAGCTGGCACTGCCCAGCTGTCATTTGCAAGGCGTTCGGCTCAGCTAGCTTTGTGAATAACCCCCTAAATGAGTAGAACATGTTCACTTTTGAAGTGAATTTTTACTTATCTTTGTGAATGGGGTGAAAAGTGTAAGTTCACTTGGCTTAGTGAATGAGGTGAAGCTCTGCTGACTTTTATGATCCAATCATGTGCAAGCAAAAATCCTGTTTTTTTATTTCAACCAAATTGTATAAAACTTTATTGTAGTCTTGCTAGAAATATTTAAAAGAACATGCATACACACTAACAATGGTATCAGCTGTGGCACTTTTTTATATGAGTATAGTGAAGACTCGGATACATGGTTTAATACTAGCGGGGTTATTCACTAAAGGGTAAAAAGTTTGGAGAAGGCAGGAGAAATGAACAATCTGATTTGGAAATATTCTCCAATTCAACTCACTTTCCACTTCAGCTATGTTGTCCTAGATTGTTCACTTCTCCTAACTTCAAACTTGTCACCCTTTAGTGAAAAACCCTGTTAGTTTCATCAATTCAAAATGCATTGTAACTTGATCTTCCCCATAATAACTCCATTTATCCATTTCAAAGATTTTATTAAATTTATACTACATAAAGTTTACATACAGACATGGCATTGGTAGTCTACAAGGGTAAACATTATCAAATTCTCCCCGAAAACCATCATCACCCAAACACCATCAATAAGAGACAACAACAACAAAAGAGAAAAAAAAAGGGGGGGCACCACATTTTTTAATTATATAATGTAATATAAAATTGACAGATTCTCAATTCACATCTTGTTGACACATATAACGAAAGATAGAGTTGGCTATTACAAAAAGGTCACACTCTCCACGGAAAGAGGTGGGTGGACATAAACAATCCAGGGCTGCCGGGTCTTCTCACATTTTTTGTTAGAATCCAACCAAATACTAGTAAATTTTTCGTTAAGAAAAAAGGAGTCCATTCTACATCTAACCTCCCAGAAAAGCACAAATTGTTTCTTCCATGCATAGGCGGTGGTGTGTTTAGCTGCCAACATAATATAAATCGCTAGTTGTAAGTTAGTAATAGAGGAGGGTTCAAAATGTAAGAGAGCCAGCCAAGGGTCTCAACATTAACTGAAAAAAGGTCACAAAGTAACTGAAATACTTTGGACCAAAACCTATCCAATTTTGGACATGTCCACGAGGTATTGATAACATCTCCCCTCGAAGTACATCACCGAAAACAAAGATCGGAGTGCGTTGAGTAGAGATGAACCAACCTGGAGGGCACCAAGTACCATCTTATAGTGGACTTCCAGGGAAGTTATATTAATAGAATACGTGGCTACTGATTTCCAGATTTGATGCCATTCCTTAGGTGATTTGGTTATTCCCAAATCACTTTCCCAAATCACTTTCCCAATTCCCTACATATTTGTGATTACCAGGAGCTGATAACCCATTTAATTGAGAATACAATAATGAGATAAGTTTAGGAGTTGTAGCACAATTTAAGCAAATATGTTCGAAAACAGTCGATTCCAATCGAGATGGAGTATTGGAGAGCACCGATGAAACCCAGTGCCTAAGTTGTAAGTATCTAAAATATTCAGTAACTGGAGCTTGTAAATTGTTTTGGAAATAAGTCCATGGGCGCATATAACCATCTTCCACCATGTTACCTTTTGAGAGGTCCACCAAGCAAATGTAATGTGCATTTCCAAGCCCGGAGGAAATAAAGGGTTACCCGTAAGGGGAAGTAACGGTAAGTGAGGAGATTTAAATTTACTATGATATCTTGTGCTATCCCATATTTTAAGCATATGCTTCAACAAAGGGCTCATTGCTGTTGGGCGTAATCGAGAGGGTAACCAGGGAATAGCACACAGTGAAACAGGAGCAAGAGTATTCTTCTAGGTCTACCCAAATTGGGCGATGTGGGGTCATATAGAAATTTACTAAAGCGACCATCTGCACTGCTTGATAGTACTTGTAAAAATTTGGGAGGCCTAGCCCCCCCTGTCGCCTGTGTATGTATATAGTGAATTTGGAGACCATACTGTAGAACGTTTATTGCTCCATACAAAGGAAAAAACCCTATTCTGAAACGAATTAATAGTATCTCTTGGAATACAAACTGGTATAGTACAGAACAGATGCAGTAATTTTAGTAATATTGACATTTTAATTGCATTGATTTTACCTTGTCA